CCCTCGGCCCCTTCCTCCACCAGGGTAGGAGAGCAAGAACGCATCCTCCTTCCAATAAATGCAGGCTCCAGCTAATGGGCTCAGCGGGCACCTGCCTTGCCCCTCCCCTCCTGAGGGCAGTGGGTTCACACCTGAAGGCTGGCTCAGCTCCCAGAGCCACCTCCTGCAGGTGCTGGCCAGGCCCCTCGGAGCTCTTGGGCCACATCGTCAGAAAGTCAAAGGTCTCGCTCCAGGCTTGGGACGCCTTCCTTCCACTCACCTCCCTCCCTGCCAAAGATACTGCCTCTAGCCGGTCCTCTGACTGCACTTGACCCTTTTCCTTCCTGCCGCACGAATGCCCACCGGTGCCCTGGATACGACGGTGACTGAGGCAGACTGGATGTTGCCCTCAAGAGCAGAGACGACAACAATACAGTGTAATGAGTCTCCTCCAGGGGAAGCCTTCTGTCTTTTTGTCCCCAATGAGTCCCACTCCCTCCTGAGGTCCCTCATGGGCAGTACTCAGAGAGGCTGCCCAGCACTGTTTCTTTTTCTGTTTGGCACACCCTCTACTGCTGCCTGCCTCCTGTCTCTCTGGGGAATCACAGCCCAGCCTCCGGGCCCCACCGGAGCAGCTGAAGTGACAACCCTCCCCTGGCCAGGCCAGTGTGTTCAGGGGCCAGCCTCCCCTGCCGTAACAAACACTGTCCAGATCGCAGCCAGGGCAGGCACCCTGGCCCGCACCTTCCACCTAGGCGTGGTCTCACAGGGCTGGTCCTGAGACAAAGGGCTGAGAAACAGCCTTTCACCACCCGCCCCTCAGCCTGCTCTGACATTGCAGCCTGGTCTGCGGGGTCAGGGTTTTCTGCTTGGCTGGGCTGTAGCTGCTGCTCCCAGGTCAGGGCTGAGTCAGCCTCACCCCACCCCTCTCCAAGACCAAGAATTGCTCATGACCGACCAAGAAACACTCAAAAGTCAAAAGTCCAGCTCTGGGCTTCCCTGGTGGCGCAGTGGTTGAGAGTCCGCCTGCTGATGCAGGGTACACGGGTTCGTGCCCTGGTCCGGGAAGATCTCACATGCCGCAGAGCGGCTGGGCCCATGAGCCATGGTCGCTGAGCCTGCGCGTCCAGAGCCTGTGCTCTGCAACGGGAGAAGCCACAACAGTGAGAGGCCCGTACCACAAAAAAAAAAAAAAAGTCCAGCTCCAACTCATTTATCCTTCCCCTAGGTCCATGAATAGAGGCATTCCATTCTAGAATGTATGAGACAGGAAGGATCTTAAAACAGTATTTAGTGTTTCCTAATTTGTCCAACCATGATCAGACAATTAGAGGCATTAGAGGCTGGTCTAACCCTTCATAGAGGGCCTTGCTCAAGGCCACACACGAACCAGAGGCAATGCCCGGAGTAGAGCCTGGGCCTGAGGCCAGCCCAGAGCCTTTTTCCTACCACCCTCACTGCTGGGACAGTCAGTGGAGGGGGCCTCTCCTTGCTTGATCTCCCAATGACAGGGGACAGTGAGATGGTAATCTGGAAACAGGCCCAGGCTACAGAGGGCCATAGCTGACCCTAGTTGGCCCTGGGCCACGTTTTACCTGCGTGATTTCTAGCCAGAAAACTGGCTAGCAGGGCAGGTGAGAGAGAATGAAGGTAGAAATCCCAGCAGGGGGCCATGGCCTGTGGCCAATTCTGTTTTGAAGAGTCAAGTGTCATCTGATTTGTTTGGGGGCTTATGGCCCTCATCAAAGCCAGTGCCTTAATACCAAATCCCATTCTGCCTTTCAACTTCAGGTCCAGGCTTTCCTAACACCCTAGAAATGGGCCCCTCATTCTCTGGGGAGTCGGGCCCATCTCCAGGTTCCTGTTGAGCTACAGATGCATCGAGGGATGGTGTCAGCACATGGCCCTGCTGAGATGCCCAGCAATGGGAGGTGTTAGAGGGCTGAGTGGTAACAAAAACTGGTTCTGCTTGGTTTGGTGTAGCCAGGAAGACCAGAGCAAGGTGTCTTCAGGGAGTAGATCTCTGACCCTGAGGAATGAACGGCCAGGGCTCTGCCCGGAGCTTCTCTGCTGACCTGATGCAAGCGTGGCAGCCCTTCGCCTCCCAGCAGCTCCGGAGAAGAGAATGGGCCGTCAGATGAGGACTGAGCTGGCCACGCCCAGTACCAATCCTGTGGCAACTCAGGGGCCCCTGTCCCTTCCAGCAGCCACTGCTGTCTGACCTACAGTGGGCAAACTAGGAACAGGAAAACAGAAGGCCCCACAGCCCAATGCCTTGGGGGCCAGAAGGTTCATTCCAGGGTGATTATACAGACTTCTTATTATGATTGGCACTGCTAAGCCCAGGGGATTGATTCCCACGCAGAGATAGCAGCACTCTCCCTCCAGGTGACACCAAGTCCCTCCCACAACCCTCCCTTCCCCCAGAGCTGGCACTGACCAGTGGTACCGTATTCATCACTAAGGAATGACTGGTAGCTGCGTGGCCGTGAACTGAGCACGGTGAGCTGCACAGTTTGGGTTGGAAGCAGAGGTGCTGCCCTCACGCTTCAACTGGTCCCTCCATCAGGACCTCTCCTCTCCCCTGGAGGGTTCTGTGTGACTGACGGACTAAAGGGTAAACAGATCCCTGTTCCAAATGGCTCCCACACCGCCTGCCCTGAGTGGGACTGTCTGGGTTACAATTCCAGATCCTAGAATCACAGGCAGGCACGGCGTGGATGAGGTGGGGGCCTTGGTCTAGCTTGACCACCTGGTCCGAGGTGAACACTGCCCTTTGAGAGGAGCTGCCGCTGCTGCTGAGGACTGGGACTCAGAGGCATATACTTCCAGCTGGTTAGCGCTCACGTTGCTCCTCTCGCCCCCTGCCCTCTGGTCCAGGCACATCAGGGGCTCTGGGAAAACTGCTGGAATTCAGGACAATGATTAGCCCTTTCCAGTATCCTGTGAGAGACCAGAGAGAGAGTTCAGAGTTAACACGGGGGGACCCTCAACTCCTGGAGAAGTGACACAGGCTTTATTGGATGGGCTGGTCCAGGTATCCCCCCCCCGCCCAAGCTGAGAGGTGGAAGACAATGTCCAGAGACAGAGGGCTCTGGGGGAAGAAACAAGTGGGTCAGGTTAGCATGTGGCCCAGTCACAACTAGCCGAGGAAGCTCTCCAGGCTTCCCTTTAGCACATTTCTGCCACCGTAGTTCCATCTGTAAAATGGGAATGGAGGGGGATGAGGAGAACTGGGTGCGAGAACATAGCCTTGCCAAGAAGCACTGTGAGCCTGACCCTTCCCCTACCGGCCTCTGCCTTGCTACCGGGGAATCGCTCCCAGACGATTAGGCAACTGTCTGCAAGGGGAGAGTCAGGCTGGGACTGAGACACCCACAGGGAAAAAGCTCCAGGGCTGAGGAGGCTGGAAGGAGGAGGAAGAGGATACCTTTAGGGTGAAGGGGTCTATTTTGAGCCTGGGTCAGGGCCCTGCATTACCCAATCAGGACGGCCGGGATGAAGAGGAGGCCAGCTCCCAGGAGGAAAGGGAAGCCCTTCATGAAGTTCAGGGTGGCTGGGTAGAGCGAGTTGAAGATGCCGGAGGCTGTCAGCATGGCCAAGCCATTCACACAGGCCACAGCAGAAAAGAGAGCGCCTGTGAAGAAATAAATAGCACACTCAGGAATCTGAAAGACCTAAATGCAAATCCTGACACCACTACCTCGCAGCTGTGTGACCTGGAGCAAGTCACTTAACCTCTCTGAGTGTCACCTTCCTGAGCTATGACTCCTACATCATGTGTTGTGATAAGGCTTCGACGAGGTCATGCATGGAAAGCACCTGTGCTACAAAACAAATGGCTGTTATTAAATCTATATATTACAAGTACATGTGATATCTTCTAGCAAACGTCTGATAAAGTCTGATAAAATGGTTTAGGTTTATCCCCTTTGGAATCATCTCCTGTTTAGGATAAATTTCTGGGCTAATTCTCAGTTTCAACACTTATTAGCTGTGTGATCACCGAATGAGACACTTATCTTTCTGGGTTTCTGTCCCCCTTCTGTTAAATAAGGATAATACCTTTCATAGATTGTTGGTAACACTATAATCACATGTAATGCACCTATCACAGGGCCTGGCCCCCTGGAGGCAGCAAGTTAGTAAGAGCTGTTCTTTTCTCCTGTTCCCCTTGGCATCTCTGGGCACAGTGAAGGTGCTAGAAAAATGCTTATTGAGTGAATGAATGAAGGCACATGGGTTCTGAGGATAACAGAACCCATGGTGCGCTGTACATGGCACCAGAGTCTCTGCCATCACCAGATCCTACTTCCAGGGCAGATGGGAAAAAGTGGATGAGCCACATGTTCCCGGATTGGGATCTAAAGACCAAGAGGCCTGAGGAGCTATTCTTTATAGATATGACAGCATGGGACTTCCCTGCTGTCACAGTGGTTAAGAATCCACCTGCCAATGCAGGGGACACGGGTTCGAGCCCTGGTCCGGGAAGATCCCACATGCCGCGGAGCAACTAAGCCTGTGCGCCACAACTACTGAGCCTGCACTCAAGAGCCTCTGAGCCACAACTACTGAGCCCTCGTGCCACAACTACTGAAGCCTGTGCACCTAGAGTCTGTGCTCCGTAACAAGAGAAGCCACCGCAATGAGAAGCCTGAACGCCGCAACGAAGAGTAGCCCCCGCTCGCCACAACTAGAGAAAGCCCACGTGCAGCAATGAAGATCCAATGCAGCCAAAAATAAATAAATTAATTAAATTTAAAAAACTATAAAAGAACCCCTCCCCCCCCCACAAAAAAAAGAGCAATTCACATGTGTTACAGATGAGGAAACAGGCCCAGATCACAGAGCCCCTGTGACAGAACCAGGACTAAAACCCAGATCCCCAGACCTGCTGCTCTTAGAAACAGACCTGGGTGTGCTTCCTAGTTCCACCACTTACTGAGTGACCTCAGGTGAATCAAGTTAACCCTCTGGGCCTCTGCTTCATCTGCCACGTGGAGACAGTGAAACCTACATCACAAAGTTGGATACTCTGACCCCAGGGAAGCAGGGAACTCTGGCATGGTCACATCCATTTTACAGATGGAAAAGCTGAAGTCTGGAAAGAGTAAATCCTCTGCGTGGCTTTTATGCAAAAGAACATAATCGTATGCTGCTGCCTGCAAATTCCAACTCTGTGGTCTGAAAATCCAAATTGCTGTGGTTCTCTGCCAGCCCTGGGCACTGCGACAGCAATGCAGTTGTCTTGGCTATTTATTTCTCCAGGGTGGAAGGGAGGAAGGTAAGCTGCCTCCTGGCCCATGGCTGCCCTCTGCGCAGTTCAGGAAACACTGGGCATGAGGAACCAGACACAGGCTCACCCTGATACTCACCCTGCTCTGACTCTCTCACCAGCCTGGAGAGTTTGGCCCGGATGACAGGCGTGACGACCAACGACAGGAAGAGGAGCCCGTACCCTGTGAAGAAAGAAACAATCATCAAGGAAATGGGCTTGGGGAGAGGGGTGCCCAAGTGAGATGTAGCAGAGGTCCTGTACCTACCCCATGAGGGACTCGGATTGGACACAGGAAGAACCTCCCTGATGGGGAAGGAGACAATGATGGGGCACAGCAAGCACACAGTAAATGCAAGTTCCTTTTCCCTTGACATTTAGTTACTCACAGGCTTACACTGTTTCCTCCGTAACCATTTCTCTCCCTTGTGCAACTGTTACCTCCTCAACAAAAACTGAAAACTGCTAAAAAACAGTGGTGCCTGTGAAGTGCATTCACGATGAGGCCCCCCCAGGGCCCCTTCAGGTGAAAGGCCCCCAAATCCCAGAGCAATGACAGTGTCTTCATCATCTCTGCACCCCCAAAGGCATTGAGCCCAGCACCAAGTCCATGGAAGATGCTGTGGGCAGGAGAAAAAGGTACCTGGTTCCCGTCAGCACTGTCCAGGCGAGCAGCCACATTAGGAAATCTGTGATTACAGAATGGCTGACTGTACACATTTTAGGGCTCTATTAAAATAAATCTGTCCATTCAGGAAAGTTAACTTCCTCATTTGCAGCTGGACCCTCCCACCAAAAAAAAAAAAAGAAAGAAAGAAAGAAAAGAAGAACTAACACAAGCAGGAATTTGATAGCTGCGGTCTGAGAAGACTGGCTTTTTTAAAAACCCAAAGAAGCTGACCAAGGATATTTGAGATAGGTCCTGTGATTCTTATCAGAGAAGTGAGTATTAAGGCATTAATGGCTTGGACTTTGCTTAAGAGCACCAGGAATATAGGCTGTGGGAGGCCAAGGAGTGGAGCAATTAGTGTAAGAGCAATATTTTTGTCTTTGGCTCGATCTTACTAACAATATTTATGGTTGGTAATGTGAATGAATTACTTTGGCTATTGAAGGTCTATTTTTTTTTTTTCTTTTTTGGCGGTACGCGGGCCTCTCACTGTTGCGGCCTCTCCCGTTGCGGAGCACAGGCTCCGGACGCGCAGGCTCAGCGGCCATGGCTCACGGGCCCAGCCGCTCCGCAGCATGTGGGATCTTCCCGAACCGGGGCACGAACTCATGTCCCCTGCATCGGCAAGCGGACTCTCAACCACTGCGCCACCATGGAAGCCCTGAAGGTCTATATTTTCTGTATAACAAAGATGGCATTTTTATGAGGTTTCTTAGTTGTCGGTCCTCCAGTGCAGGCTAGGGGCACAGTGATGTTTCCAAAGACATGGGCATGAACTACATTTGGCGGCAGCAGGTGGCCAGTCCCCAGTTTTCACCCAGCAATTCTGAGACAAACTGTCCCTGAACCCATACACACTTTACCTGTGAACATGAGGGGTGTAATGGTAGCAAATGCAAAGACCACCATCCCCATGATGTTGAAGGCCAGACCGATCTCAGCCACCCAGGTGTCGGCCAGGCAGTACTGCAGAAGCCTCAGGCCCAGCAGGCTGGTGAGGTATGGGAGGTGCTGAGCCGCAGAACCGTAGCCAATCAGCCTAGAGTCCCAGCAGAGGGGTGTGCTCAGCTCATAGAGGGTCAGGATGTCCTGGGCCCCAAGGTGCACAGTGATCACCACGAAGATGGCCAACGAGTACAGGGCTAAGTGCTTCCTGGACTTCTCCGGGGCCTGGGTCACATAGAGCTGGACGATGGATCGGTGGTGACGGAGTGTGAAGAGCCGGGCGGGTGTCGCCTCTTTCACTGTCTCACCAAAGCAGAATGCTGCATAGAGAGTCATGGCAATGAGCAAGGCCAAGGCCAACCAGAAGGGGTTGGCATAACCCTGCTCCTGGAGCCAGTTGCCACCAATGAGACTCGCCAGCATCCCTGCCACCCCGATGCACGCTTCCAGCAGGGCCATTCGGATAGTACGGGTGCGGCTGGAGCTGACATCTGCCACGGAGGCAAAGCCAGCAGCCAGGAGGCCGCTGAAATCGCCGAGGAGGGCACAAAGGATGCGGCCCAGCACGAAGTAGCCAAGGTGGAGCTGCAGCTGTACCACGAAGATGGACAGCACAGTCTGGAGCAGCAGGCCGAGGGAGGCCAGCACCAGCAGCGGGCGGCGGCCCACGCAGTCACTCCAGGCACCCAGCAGTGTGGACGAGAAGAGTCCCACCAGGAAGCCGCCCATGTTCATGTAGAGGGTCCAGTGGGAGGTAAGGGTCTCCACTTTCTGCGGAGGCAAGAGTCTTATTACCAGGGTGCCGTTCCTCACTCTGGGCTGCCCATCGCCCACACCATCACCAACCTGGGAGATACAGGGATGAGGACTTTCTTTGGAGCCCTAAACCTCAGAGAATTTTAGTACAACTCTTAAAAACTGACACTGGAGGGGTATGGGAAATGGGCAAGATCCATTCTCTTACTTTTAGCACTGTGAATGAAAACTGTTGCCTGCCACATCAGCAAACAAAGGATGCTGCCGCCATCAAGCCCTCAGCCACTACTGCCGCCCCTGATGCTGAGCCCTGATGTAACTCAGGATGGAGACAAACAGGCTGCCCACAGCCAAGCCCTCAGGCACTGCAGCCACCCCCAAGTACAGACCCAGGATGGGACAGAACAGGATACTGGCTCTAGAGAGCTAAGGTGCATATCAGAGGAGTGATTTCAATAAGCCCAGGCTCCTGCATCTTCCCTTACTTAGAAAAGTGCTAAATTCATTGACTTGTGGGAATTCCCTGGTGGTCCAATTTTTAGGACTTGGTGCTTTCACTGCTGGGGCTGGGTTCAGTCCCTGGTTGGAAAACTAAGAGCCCACAAGTCAGGTGGTGCAGCCAAAAAAAAAAAAAAAAAGTCCAGTAACTTGAGATGTCTGGTTTTCCTCAATTAACAGTAATCTTTTGATGTTCCAACTACCTGGTTTTTACTGCAAAACTCCTATATATCCTGGCGCCTCCCTCACCTCTTGGGAACAGTCCCTCAGAGCTATCTCAGAGACTGCCTCCCAGGCCTGAGTCCTCAGAAAGTCTGCCAAATAAAACATAATTCTCAACTTTCAGTTTGTGCTTTTTTTTTTTTTTTTTGGTTGTGTTGGGTCTTCGTTGCACGGCACGGTCTTCTCACTGTGGTGGCTTCTGTTGTTGCGGAGCACGGGCTCTAGGTGCGCGGGCTTTAGTAGTTGTGGCACATGGGCTCAGTAGTTGTGGCTCGCAGGCTTCGCGGGCTCTAGAGCGCAGGCTCAGTAGTTGTGGCGCACGGGCTTAGCTGCTCCGCGGCATGTGGGATCTTTCCGGGCCAGGGCTCGAACCCGTGTCCCCTGCATTGGCAGGCAGATTCCCAACCACTGCGCCACCGGGAAGTCCCTCAGTTTATGCATTTTTTTTTCAGTGGACACCCTCTTTTGTAACCCTCAAACTCGCTTTACCTAGATCAACTTTAAGCATCCCGGGCTTCCCTGGTGGTGCAGTGGTTGAGAGCCCGCCTGCCGATGCGGGGGACACGGGGTCGTGCCCCGGTCCGGGAGGATCCCACATGCCGCGGAGGGGCTGGGCCCGTGAGCCATGGCCGCTGAGCCTGCGCGTCCGGAGCCTGTGCTCCGCAACGGGAGAGGCCCCAACAGTGAGAGGCCCGCGTACCGCAAAAAAAAACAAAACAGAAAACAAAAAACTTTAAGCATCCCCGCAACGCATTTCTCAGTCAAGCCCCAACTTTGCTCCGGCCCCGCCCACCACCTAATATCCTAACCCACTGGGCTGCCCCCAACCTTTACGCAGGCCCCGCCCGCTCCGCTGCCCCTAGGGCCCGCCCCTGCCACGCTCCTCGCTTCTCCCCGCCGCCCCTACCTGCGCGGTGGGGTCCACGCTATGGTTGGTGCAGCTACCCCTGTCACGAGTGCCGTTGTAGCCAAGGTCGGCACTGAAGCGGTGCCACAGGTACTGCGTGGTGACCGGGCCCTGCAAGACCAAGGCGAAGTTGGCAAGGAAGATGAGAGGCTCCACGCAGCCGCGGCACAGCACGGGCCCGGCGGGCCAGGCGCGGGGCTCGCCCCGGGAGTTCGCGCGTTCCTCCATGCCGAGCTGCCGCTAGGCTTACAGCTCGGCTTTCTGCGCCTGCGCCCAGCGTCTTTTTTTTTTTTTTTTTTTTTTTTTTTTTTA